CGGTCCGTCCGTGCCATACCAAACCAGTGCGCGCATAGCGTAACCTGTGTACTGGACCAACACCTAAATTACAGTAGAATGGCTAGGTGGTTTTGACTGCACACACGCGTTACACACGCCAGCCGACGGTGCGGGAATATGCTTTGACAGACCACCTGCAACTGGCTCCAGGAAATGCCAAGCTTGTCCACAAGGCCACATCAGGCATCGTCAACCCATTTTTAAGAAGGCATATAAAGCAGGTATAGAGTAGCTCAAAAACAAAAGAAGTCAAACGTTCTCCCTCCCGATAAGCCATTATATTTTGAACGAATATTGTGCACAAAAACGCTCCATCTCTTAATTTTTTATAAAATATTTTTCATAAAAGTGTAATATTATCTTATAAAATGAATACATTTAAAATTTACTTTACTTCCGGGAGAGAAATTTAGACTCATACAATTACAGCACAAACATCACTCGAATCATAATTCTCCAGAGTACTCTGATAAATATCATTTACATGACTTTTTTTAAATTCTTGAAATGCGATCACCCATTTTAACGTAACTTAAAGAATATTGGCTACTGATCATTAACTTTCATAGGGGCCATTAAAGTTTTGAAAAGAGTTCCAGTGGTTGGTTAATGATACTTAGAAAGTTAAATCATGAAAATAATGCGTCAATCATGACATGTAATAAGATTTGCTTGTGCTGCTATATCAGCACTTCCTTTCTCACTGTATTTGGAACTTTTGCAATAGTTCACAAAATTCGGAGCGTTGAACGAAAATGGATCCTACAGTATTTTTATAAGCGAGACGATTTTTATGTACAAATAGTTATTTACTAAATAAGAATTGTGGAGCATCTAATGACAATACATAATCAAACGAGTAGCCCAAAGCTCGACGCGGCAACGGTGGTACACTGCAGTCGAAGTACCAAGAGGAGGAAGCCCCGCATACGGACGTGTGGGTCAGCGGCAGATATTGCATTCTAGAGAGGAATATCGCTATCTCTGCCCGTCCGTCCGTCCGTTCGCCCGCCCATCCATTTGACTGTCCGTCCGGCTGTGAACCTGTCCGTCCTTCTATCCGCCTGGCTGTCCATTCTTCCGTCCATCCGTCCGACGGTCTGACCGACCGTCCGTCCGTCGGTCTGACCGACCGTCCGTCCGTCGGTCTGACCGTCCGTCCGTCCGTCCGACGGTCTGACCGACCGTCCGTCCGACGGTCTGACTGACCGTCCGTCCGTCCGTCCGTCCGTATGTATGTGTGTGTGCGCGCGCGCGTATGTGTGTAAAACGGGAGTATAGAGAACAGTCTGTGGCCCGTTTGCTAGGTTCTTCTGGAAAGGTGGAAAAACTGCTGATCTCAGGAAGCCGTCTCTAGAAGTCTCCTCCAGAGAGCGGTTGAATGTGACCTAGCAGTAATGTTGTGAAAAACTGCCTTCATTTACCGAGAGTCGAAGCCTAATACCACCCAATCGGAGAGACTGCATATGCAACAGTTGTTTCCCCGAGCTAAGTGAAATAAACATTGCTGAAAGGCGGCAGGGGTGTTCCAAGCCCATTTCCTCGGTGGCCGAGCGGGTCAGCGTGGGCGTCGCCCGAGCGTCTTGTGCTCCCAATTTACAGCGTCTAATGAATTGGCGTCGACGGGGTAATGGGCGCGCTAACAGGCGGCCGGTGCCACGCGACCCCCTTGGCCCTGACGGCGCGTTCGCGTTACAGGAGAGATATTCCCGTTCCATTTGACCCGTTCGGGCAAGCATGAGCTTTGTTGGCGGCATCTAATGGGCAAGACCCTGAGGTTTGGTTGTTAGTGATTGCGGGCGTGTCAACCAGTAAGGTCATTAGTACCGTAAGTTTAGTACCCCGCTGAATGGTGAAATTCGACCCCGACCTACCGTCAGCTAGCGGGGTTTCCCCTGCCAGGTATCTCCCACCAGCGGGGCACCGCCCCAGCCGGGCCAAGCTCTAAGCTCCAGACCGGTCTCCCGGCATGTGTAGTAGTGTAGTGCAAGTTAGTGTAAGTGCGTGTAATGGGTGAGGACAAGGAAGGACAGTGGTAGGACAGTGGGAGGACAATGGTAGGACAAGGAAGAGGTAGGAAAGATAGTGCGCGGTCCGTAACCCGTTTGCTAGAGTGTTGCTACGAACAGAGCAGTCGGCAGCTGAATTCTCCTCCAGTGACTGAACTTGACCTAGATGACAAACTAGTATCGAAAATCTTGCCACCATCGGGACGCGAACCTGGACCTCCCGGTCAGAGGCACTGCAATTACATCAGTTGCTGCACTGCACTCTCGCGGTGGTCTCATCCAAGTTACACGACTGATGTTGCCGTGCCGTATTAGCCGTTCTGGCAAACAATAGCTTTGTAGGTGTCATCTAAAGGGCAAGACCCTGAGGATAAAAATGTTACAAAGCTAATAGACTCCTCACTTTCTTCATACTTTCATTTGGCTTATGTGACGGTTTGTTGACATACTAATATGTATGTATGTGCATGTGATGACTTGAATGTGTTTCTTTGATCAGTTACACACAGCACCGCAGGAGCCATGAAAATATCAGACAAGCATTTTCTTATCAAATAAAAATGCAGAAAAAAGTACGTTTTTTAATATTAAAAAGCAAATGTCTTTTTTTATTGAGCAAAATCCTCAGATTCTGCTTCTGCATTCAGGGATGCTCAGCAGACCTGTCGTTGACAGAACATTTTCATGAAATCAAATGTTTGCCATTCTCCGTTTCAAAATGAAGATTTTCATTAAATTTTTCAATATTTTTGCCGAAAATAAATGAAACTAGACGCAAAGTCTTTAATGAAGACTTTCCCTTTGAGATCATGTCATACATATACATACAAACGTACTGTTTGGTCAAACGTCGGGTCAAACAGGAAGTGTATCGTCACGAACGAAGCCTTGCTGCTCCTCATTTTGTTCATAAGAGTAAACTAGACACGTTTTTAAATGCACTAATTAAAAATTTTTTGTGTACTTTATTTTAACAATGACATGAGTACCATTTCTCTTTTTAGACACGTACAGTGATGCCATAAACCTCTTAACAATCTATCACAGATCTTCAACTTAAATTAATTAAAATGGAAAAAGTAATTAGACATATTTTAAGATATATTCATTCAGTTATTCAACTACGTTATACCTCTTGACATCCTTTTGAGATATTTGAAAACCTTCATTAAAGCCTTTGCGTCTAGTTTCATTAATCTTCGAATTTAATCTAAAACGTCATTTTAAAACGTAGAAGTGCAAACATTTGATTTAAAAAAAAAACTTTCTGTCAACACCATGTCTGCTGAGCGTTTATAAATACAGCAGCAGAATCTAATAATTTTGCTCGATTCAAAGAGAGATACTTACATTTTCATAATATTTAGAAACTTGTTATTTTACTGTATTTTTTTTTACTATTTTGAACTCACTTTTGAATTACTACGATCATACAGCAACCATTGTAAGTAAGATTGGGGGTTACGGTATACAGACACCCAAACATCCATATCCCGGGCGAGATTCGAAATCGCGACCCTTCAGGCAAATGTGGCTGATGAGCCTCAACGACCTCGACTACCCAGGCCTACTCCCACATTTTCATTTGAAAATAAAGTACTTATCTGGTAATATTTTCATAGCTTCAACGGTGCAGTTACTGACAAGACCTGCGCTATTCTTTTAAGGTCTTTTCTCCGAAGAAAAAGTTTATTAAAAATTTGAAACCATCTTTAAGAAAATATTGAAAATCTTGAGTTTTCATGTAAACTATAATCAAAAATCAAAATATTCCTTTCAAACTCGCAGGATCTGGAGATCGTCCACATCGATCGGGGAATATCAATTTTGGAAAAAATGTTTTGTACCTTCTGATTTAGGCGCGTAGATCGCAGATGGACAGACATATCATGGTATGAAATTGGCTTGTAAACGACGAATACTGGACTTCATTTTAAATTGGAAAATAATTTCTCTGAAAACGTTGGCACACGTCCAATATATGCAATATAACTAAAAAATATAACAAATTAGTATTCTGACCAAACTGCTTTTGTGACGGACCGCATACGACAAATATAAACAATGAATTTTCTGTGACTGAACTGGTGACGAATCGTTCCCAGATAAATTTTAATTAACAGATGATGATGGATGAAGTCATTATTTTTCTTGTAACTCTGACACCCTGTAGTACTTAACATAATTAAGCCGTTATTTGTGATATAGACTATGTGATCTCAAATTCTCCAATTAAGAAGCGATTATACTATTAACGAGAAATATCTCAAATAATCTTATAGTAGCAGTCATCCACCATCTTTAGTTACAACTCATTTGGTTCACTTTTTCTTAATGGAAGGCGCACTGTAAAATCATAAACAATGTAACAGATTAACGATGTAACTAATTACAAAGTAGTTGCGTTAAGTCAATGTATCACAATATTTACTGTTTTTTAAATCTACATTTTAAATGTAGTATTTGCCTCTCAAATCCCATCGGAACATAAAAACTAGTGCTAAAACAGCACGTACTTTCTCGCCCTTATTATCACGCAAAATGATGCGAAAAGTACTCAAAGGGGCTTCATGTAAAGTACCCCCAAAAATTAAAATATTGGTCTCAAATTCAAGAGGCCGCGACATCAACCACATCGGTTAGGGAATATCAAATTTGGAGAAAATCAGCAGAACGGTTTAGCCACTAGCGTTGTTCGCAGACAGACGGTCGGACTCTTTGCTGTCAATCGATTTTTCGGTATCAATGACCCACAAAACATGGATTCTGTCTACACGTGTTAAAAGATTTTTTTCTTCTAAGTAAGAAACTGAATTTATCCACTTTTTCGTCACCAGGGCTTTGTAATAAGAGTTGTTCTGCCGAAAATTCATCGGTTCTCCGCACAGCATTACATAACTTTCTCTCCACTCCGTACAGAGTACGAAATTAAAAAAAAGGAAAATAGATTTCCGTGACGAGCATACTCACCGCGTTCTCGTTGAGCACGCTGATGTCGCCGATGACGTGCCGGTACCACACCAGCCACATGAGGTTGTTGGCGGCGAACGACAGGAACAGCTGCACGTGGATGGCGATGCGCGTGCACTTGAGGGCCCTGCGCACAGAGTTCGTTAGATCCTGCTCTGTATGGGGTGAACTGTTACAGACATAATCCCAAAATGTGTGTTTATTTTGCAGACTTCTTGGCCAACTGCAAAGCTAGCGAAGTAAAACGCGAAGATATTCACAATAATTATTACATTGTTTCAAAAATATTTGTGTCAAGTTATGATTTTATGAAGGATTAATCAAGTAAACAATGCACCTCCCAAATGTGCGTGCTAGTTGGTCCATGTATATTTCAAACTTCTGCTGGAACTATTTATATCATCATTTATTTTCTTTCTTAGATGTATAAATACATAACCAAATGCTTACTACAATTACTATAATGCTATCCTGTTACAAAAATTGAGACGTTCGTTTTCAAGAAATACAAAAGTATGAAATCGAGTAAAATACCTCAGTGCGAATAAAAATATTGTTTGCAATGGTGAAAATATGTACAGATAAGAAAGTTTATTGCATCATCTGTCCCTAAACAAGCCACACAATAACAAATCAAAAAAACTAAAATTGTGACATTTGTTATATTTGTGTGGCATTTCTAGCCATTGTGTCACCATTTACTACATATCATTGAGACATTTATGTCATGAGTAACATATCAAAGAAAATACGAACAAAATGTTCATTTACACCAACTCATGGTTAACGTTTGTGTGGTCGTTCTATGAATAACAGATATCGACCATTATTTTAATAGATACATTTACAATCAAAGAAAGATTTTGCAATGGTGAATGTTACCGACGTTTTGGCCCCTAAACATCTTATGACCATCATCACGAAAAAGGAGAAATCTTGTAGTCAAATAGTAATACTTTGGCAAAGTAATATGTATTGTGGGAATTTTGTGTGGTATTGTTTGCGTAATTACACGAAGAAATAAAAGAAGCATCTTCGTCAACTTAATATATTTATTTAGAAACCCGGCTTCCGACGTCTTTGCCGCCATCGTCAGTCTCGCTGTGTGAGGCAAAAGTCGGGAGACTGTACATGGTACACAGCGAGATAAATTCTCCCGACTTTTGTCACGAGACTCACCATGACGGCAACGTCGTCGAAAGCCGACTCTCTGAATAAATATACCTTTTATTTCTTCAAAATAATATGTAGCAGCACAATAAGTAACACTTCACGTTTCAAGACATCGTGTTGATTTGTTTAAGAGCCGAAACGTCAGTAACGTTCACCATTTCAAAACCTTTCTTTGATTGTGAATGTGTCTATTAAAATAATGGTCAATATTTGTTTTTCGTAAGAGGTTCATTTAGATATAAAATCGATTAGAACTAATTTATCGGGTATTAATCATGTTTGCCACCGATAATTAGCTCAAAACAATTTTAATAATAATAATAATAATAATAATAGTAATAACAATTTCTTCCCACGAAATTTCAGATAACAGCGTGCATGAATATGTATCATACAAACCAATTACAGACGAACTATGTTCACGCCAAATGTTCACTTTCTAATTATTATTTCATGAGAAGTGATAACTATTGTTATTATTTGGATTTCAAAGAAACTAGCTGACTAATTATAATGACTAGTGAACAAAGAAAGTGAATTATTTTTTTCCTTCTCCTCTATGTCCTCCTTATCATATTTCTAAACCTTCGCTCCCTTGTTCTTATTTTTCCTTTTCTCCTTCATCTGCTTTTCCTTCTCTATTTTAATCTGTCTTAATGAAACTTCATTTATGAAACAGTTAACATCACTAGTGCTTGGAAATGCTTATATACATCACAACACTTGTAGTATTGCTAATAAATGAATACAGATATACCGACACTGCCCAAAACACAAGTACTCTCTCCTCCCAATCAAATGTTGGGATCCGCACTAATGAAACGTAGAGAAGGTGGTGGTGGTGGAGGATGATTGATTGATTAGCATGGTTAGACGCGACAACTATGCTCATTAGTCACGTAAGTGTAGTGCATTTAATATCCCACGAAGTAGTGGGGTTCATCCCACCTCTAAGACGTGAGATCCCGCGTCGACCAACACGTCGGCTTGTGGGGTCACACAGTTCAGGTATCTCCCCCGAAAAGGGCACCGCCCCAACCAGGAAAAATTCTAAGCTCCCGACCAGGCCCTCGACATATGTTGTCTTACAGTGCATGTAAGAGTACGGATGTGTAAATAAGGGGTGAGGACATGCCAGGGAAGAGGAAGGAAACATCGGGCGCGGTCCGTGGCCCGTTTGTTAGAGTTCTGCTCCGCCAGTCGCCTGAATTCGACCTAGCTGACAAGCTAGTGTCGAAAACCTTGCCACTATCGGGACTCGAACTTAGTGCCTCCAGAGACCGCGGAAGCTCTGCTTTGAGCCATGTCGCGCGTGGCGGCGCCGTTGTGCTGTTTGCGGCCGCGGGTCCGGCGCCGGGGCTGGGCTGGGGCGGAGGCAGAGGCGGCGGCAGCGGCTGGCGCGCGCCGGCCACAATATGTTTGCGGCGGCCACGCGCCGCGTCAACAGCACCCGCTCCCACCGCCTAAATGTTTTGACGCCTCCGCGCCTCGGACACCCCAAGGGCGCAACGCGGACATCCGGGAACGGCGCGGCGGCCCCTCCGACAAAAAGTAGATCCTATTGACAGATGCGCTCTGTCGGCAATTACATTGCGTGCGAAGTTTAGCAGAGCCAGCATTTCCGCTCTATCAACAGCGACCCCTAAGGGGAGGTCCCACTTTTCGAGTCCCGACGGTGGCAGGATTTTCAACACTAGCTTGTTAGCGAGGTCTGATCCATCCGCTGTCTGGAGGGGAATTACAGCGGGTGGCTGCTCAGAATGGTAGTTTTCGTAGTAAACCCAATCAACATTACGCATACGTACATGCATTACTCTACTATACATGTCGAGAGCGCAGTGCTTGTCCTGGCTGGGGTGGTCCTCCGCTGGGGGAGATACTTGAAAAAATAATTGCTAAAAAAATTCCTGTTTCAGGCAAAACTACTCATATTATTTAAAAAAGTATATGCTCTTATTTGATGATCTATTTTTAAAGAATACATTGCAAAAAGGAAAAATTCTCTCTTCTATGTTGTAATTGTAGGAAAACCCCTAAAAAATTTGAACTTTACGATTTTTCGAAAATTCAGAAATTTTGGCAAAAATCCGACCTGCCTCATTTTTAAGCGTCCATTATGATATTCGAAGGCAACGTTTAATTGAAAATTGAATGCATTTTCGAGAAGAATTGAAAAGATGTTTCGAACGCCATGTAAAATAATCACCAATATCAAAATTTCTGTTTTAAAGCAATAGACCCGATTGGGGAATATCAATTTAGAGAAAATCGTCTGAAAGTCGTTGGCGCTACCGTTGACCACTGACTGACAAACAGATGTTTTGCCGACAGTCGATATCAAGGATTCACAAAACGAGGAGTCTGACTACTACAAAACGTGGTGTTAGTGTATTTTACTACATACAGGAACACGATTTATCCAATTTTTCGATTTCGGGGCCCCACAATACATTTTTTTTGAAAATCACCGATTTCCGCCGTAGTATTATAACACTTCATTCATATCATTTAGAACATACTAGGGGATTGGTGATTTTGAATGAAAATGCTGAAAATCGCATTTACTTACACTAACTGATTTTCGCATTTATAACACTAATTGATAGCTAGTAGAAGGGCCTACACTCCAGAATGGTGTTTTGAGAAAAACGGATTGCGAGTTTTCGATCATAGCATCTTACACACTGGTCTATTTAATTGAAAATTTATTTTCATACATTATAATTATTTTAAATCTTAATTTCATTCAAAAGTAATAAAAGTCTCCTTAACTTCATCCATGTGGCGTAAAAAAGCATTACAGACCCTTCATCTGTATAACGCTATTCTAATTATTTAAATTTTAAATATTATTAAATTTTAATTTGCTTTTATTATTAACACTTAATGCAAATCATAGTGTGGTTTGTTACCTATATTATTACCTCACAAGTTAGTCTTGTGAGGTATCAGATTCGGACTCATTTTTGCCAACATTTCAATTATTCTAGGACACTTGAGGAGCCCACCCTCCAAAAACGTTTGGTAAAATGTTTTGCTCTCTTCCTTTACGTACCCATATAAGCCTCGAATATCAGTAACTTTTGCCGGATTAAGTGGAACTCGAACGACTGGTTCAAGAGCAATATTCTGGGGAACACTTCATGTAACGGAATAGTGCTATATCAATCTAATGAATAGAGATAAAATCATGAAAATTTTGCTTGGATACACATTGAAGTACGTAGAATGAATTTCTGCATTCTCCGGAAGAAGGGATCATTGTCCTATAGGCCTTTCAATTTATCTTAGCACTTTCCTATCGCAACTTTATCACCGCTTCGCAGGCTATATTAATTCTTAATTTTTAAATACACTGAATCTGATACCATTTATCACTATGACATGTCGTGTACAGAAGGAAAAAACGATCTCGTCATTCTCTTCAAATCATTGTTTTGTTGCTAGGGCAACAACAAGATTCAATGAAAATTTTGAACCAGTAAATGCCAACATTTTTTCTGACTTTTTTGACTGTTCAAAAATGATCTGCAATGACACTTTTCGCATGTAGAATGAAAATATTCGGGAACGGGATGTCTTATTTATCTAGCAATCATTTGATATGTAAAATTAATAAGCATATTTGATGTAAGTACATTGTGAATGAAAAAACAAATCATTGCTGCACCACGCTAATTTAGTTTTCATTAAATTGTCAACATAAATAATTGAACGATTGTTCGGTGAAATTTGTGGAAATTGCAATTAAGTGAGAGTGTGGAGCACTAGCTGATGTGATGGATTTGTAAGCCAACGTAAATTTTTTCCCTGTTTATTGGAATGATAGTGAAATTTGAGTCAATGTACGATGTTCATTACAAAAGGCGCATTAACCCACACACACTATATTCCTTGAAAATTGAGAAAATTAAATTACTGTATCCATTACAAATTTGGACAGGTGACACAAAT